GTGCTGTGTTATGGTGCCTCCTTTCTAGGCTTAAAATATTGAGACAGTGCTTCCGGGCATGGTATTCATACTCTGGAAGCAGCAAAGGATCTGGTTTAGGACCCTCCAAGTCGGGTACAACCAGGCTGAATCACGGCCTCAGCAAAGCAAGGCTTTGGCTCAGCATTTACAGGAGCTGCCCTACATCATAGCTGGAGGGAGAGGGAATGGGGATAGAGAAGGGCAGTGCCAGCTCGCCAAGAGCACTGACCTAGTTAGTATGACTGGTCTTCCTACAGTGACCTTCTTAAGTTTGCTTCTGTTTTGTTTTTTGAACTAAAAAAAGAAAGAAATATTATCATCTGTATTTCACCAGATTTTTTTAGACTTTTTAAAAAAAGAATCACAATTTTACAATTTATTTTTTCTCCATCTCCTGGCCCCTTCAGCCCTTGCACACTGACAAGAACTTTGACCCTCAACCACTGTCACAAATTTTGTATCCTTCTAGTTCATTTAAGTGTGTCCATATCTATACCGAACCCTATGATATTGTTTTCTAAAATGCCCTAAGTAGTATACTGTACAAATATCATTAAACAACTTGCTTTTTCATTCAGCACATTTAAGGTCTATCCAATTGATATACAGATCTGGTTAATTCATAACAACTGCTATACCAGTCCACTGTACAACTAGACCATTTATTTTTATATGCCCTTATTGGTTGGCCATCCTCCCTCCATTAAGTCAATTTTTCCCCAATTTTCAATACCATAACAACTCTCCTAGTACCTATCTCCTTGTGCAGGTATGAGCTTCTACATATTCAGAAATGAAATTTCTGGGCCATAGGGTATGCTTACTTTTTACTGGGTGCTAGAGTAACTGGGGGGATCACTTCATAAACTATATAATTGTCTAACCATTGTACTGTATACCTGAAATGAATATAAAGTAAAATAAAAAATACTGCTGAATTGCTCTCTGAAATGGTTCTATCTACTTACAACTGAGCAGTAATGTCAGTTTTTGCCTTCCTACCCTTTGTCAACACTTGATACTGTCAGATTTTTAAAATATTTGCCCATGTGATGGGTGACCTTTGAGAGTCTGCTCTCTAAAGTAATAACAAAAGAGGGATACCGGTTATTAGGTCTCTACCTCCCTACCTCTTACCTAGATCGAAAGGCCAGGGCTCCTCCAAAATACGTGTGGTTTTGTCTCATACCATGTGACTGACTCAGCTCGCTCATGGCTGGAGATGGGAGACACCAGTCATCTCGAGTTAAATATCATCTATCTATAGGGTGAGTAAAGATGTTTGGAAGGGATGGAGCTCCTTTCAGAGAATTCTGTGGACTGCATCAGCTGAGCTGGCCCATACTCTGAGCAGCTGTGATACCGCCCTATCACAGCAGGTCTTGGCATCTCCCCAACACAGCTGCTGCCTACAGTCAGAAGTAGGGGTGGTGAGTCTTAAAGGCCACAGGAGGCACTGCAGCCTGGCTCTCCTACGTGCAGACTGGCACAAACCACTGTAGGGGTGAGGAAGCACTGCTCGGGGGCCCAGTTGGCTGCCCCTTTTGAGCTGAGCAGTCATACTAAGAGGCCAAAAGGCCTAGCAGAGGCTGCACACCAGCATCCACTACCACCATGGCTCACCTTCCCCCAAACAGCTTCTTTGACAAAGCCCAAAGAATCAGACTATTAATTTATCTCGTCTAAGGCTAGGTCTCAGTGAAACATGCAAGTTCTCAAGAAACTATGGTGGTATCAAGAATGGCTCTATTCCTATATGTACTAGAAGTTAGTATCAAATGTGATGAGTCAGAGTCCTATTAGACCTTTTACCAAATGAATCATACATCTCACAAGATCTTCCACAAGGGTGCAAGAAAACTCTTCTCACATGGGCAACTCATTCTTGTGGTGTACCTCTTAATTGGGATTTGACTGTGGATACTTGGAATGATTCAGAAATAACGATAATGTCAAATGACTCACTTTCCCATACCTCCCTACCTTGATCAGTCTTAGCTCTTGTCCAGAATAACACACCCTGATATGTCTTCATAAAAGCTGAAGCAAAATAAATTTAAACCCATGTAGTGTGAGTTTGTAATGCAAGGGCTGCATTTTTTTCTATCTTCCTGCTCACAGCCATTTCCTCATTTCTTCCATTGCCTCAACATTAAGTAATAAGCAGCTTTAAGAAATGAAATGACTTTTCCTGTGACTCCACATTGATGTCTCAACACTCCAGGCACAGAAGCAACTCCCATAAGGTGCTAGCTCTGTTTAGAGTCACAGCCACCAAATTCGCCAAGTTACTGGGAGTACGCTTCTTACAAACCCAATAATGCTCTTGGCTAAACTATGAAATCTTTCGATGGTTTATTCATGTCCACTACAGCCCCATCCCATGAGACTGCCATGCCCACCACAGAAGGCGCAGAATGCAGGTGCACAAACTGCATTACCTAGGTATAGAGCTCTGCCAGGATGCATCTCAGCTCCTGGGGCAGTACAGAGAGCCTGGGAACCAGTACCAACCATTTTTCACTTAGTTGAGACATTTTTAACTGGGGAAAAACATGCTTAATTGTTTGACTCATTGAAAGAGAAAAGGGGACTTTTTAAACCTGTGAAGATCACAATGCAGTTTCCTACTCACCCAATAAAGAGAATTCTCTCAAAAGCAGAGAAGTTGGGAGGTTTAGTCATCTTCCCCACAGAGCCTCCCCACCCCTGCACAGACCTGGAGATGCGTTACATACCGGGCCCCTCAGAATAGCCCCACTGTATTCCCAGGAGCATCCTCCAACAACCAGAGGGCAAATTATTTGCTAACAATGCTGCAGGGTGTGAATACTGACATAGGTCCTCCAGTTACCCTAGGGGGTGGCCACACCCTCAGTACAGCCCAGAGGGGGCTATTGTCCCATCTCTAATCCCAACTTCACATCTATCCATCCACTGGCTGAGCAAATCCTAGAACCCAGGTGATGGGGATGGAATATGAATATTTCAGTCTAGAAGTTGCAAGTTTGTTTCTACTTATAGAACATGGAAGGATTAAATCTCCCCTGCCCCTTCCTTGTCTAGAGGTTCCCATTCCCAGGAGACCAGTTACAGTGGAGAATTGCAAAGTAACTTTGTTAGTTACTTTTGTCAACATTGTACCAGGATCCCTAAGGGGACTGGTTTCCAGGAGATGTCTGGTATTTAGAGAGCCTGACTCTCAAAGATTATGTGTTTTGGGATGGCATGAAGATTAGCCTTCATGCTCCATTATGTATTGTGCCCAGTGACTAAAAGAATACATTTGGAGGCATTTCTTCTGGACATCTCACCAGAGATTAGACATTGCACTGACTATTCGACATCCAACAATCACGAGGAAAATGTTTCCCCCAGTTTACACATGGGAATTTGAGGTCCTGAGCTTTTATTCCCTCCAACATTCATGTCAGTATATTAATGAACCAAACCTAATTCTAAAAGCTTGTTGACTAAACAGAAACCCAATGCCTCTATCCATCATGCCTGGACATCACCTATCAGGTTCACTTGTACAGGAGAGGATTAATGTCCCGGGTTCGAAGAATACGGAAAAAAAAGCTAAGAGTGACTTTAAATAACCTTCAGACCGGAGGTGCTTTCCTGCTTCGTCAAACCCAGTAAGATACCACCTTGTGAGGGCTCCCATCACCCCCATTTCCTCAAGCAGGAAGGACGTATCTTCCTCACCACACTAACCAGTGATGATGTCTATGTTCATTCTCTACTGAGATCGTGAACTCTGTTGGCTATGACCGGTCAAGTCATTCCGGTCTCCATTCCCCTCCCCCAAACAGCTCCTATCAGTTTTTGAGTGACTGCGGTGCGAGGCGCCAAGCTATCGACCTATTTGTTCTCTCCCCACACCTGTTCCCACCCCACCCCGTGGCCTCCGCGCTACAAGGGCGGGTGGTACCGCTGAAGGGGAAGCTGGGAGGTAACGGGCCCACAGGCCAGTCGTCAGGCGGGGCGGGGCGGGGCAAGGCCCTGGAGCTGGCAGCTACGTGCAGGCCCGCCGCGACGGGATGGAACCCCGCGACGCTACCGGAGCTGGCGCAGCGCCCCCGCTACCCCCATCGAATCTGGAGCGCCCCAAGAGCAACCACCCTTCCTTCCCCGGCAGCGGGGAAAGCCCAGGGTTACGTAACCCAGGCCACCGCTGCATCCCCGGCCGCACCCGAACCAGCCCTGCCCATCCGCAGACCACTGCAGTTAGGCGGTGACACGGTCCTGGGGCTCCAGGAGCCCGAGACTGGGAGGCGCGATGGAGAAAGTCTACGAGACAGAGATGGGAGTTGGAGGGGCGGTGGGGAGCAGGCGGACGTGACCAAAAGGCCGGGGGAGAGGGCGTGAACGTGACCAGAACCGGCTGGGAGGGGCGAGGACCGCGAGGCGCGAAGGATGCGGAGCGGACGTGACCGGAACGGAGGGGGAGGGGCGAGAACCAGCGCTTGAATGGGGTAGGGGACCGCGTGAGGGCACCAGGAACCGGAATGGGGGAGGGGAGCTAGAGGAGTTTCATAGAGATGTTATACAAGGAAAGCACCAGAATGAGGAGGACACGTGCAGTTGGAGACGAGGGGGTGAATGGAACAGTATAAAGGGGCAAGAGGACGAGGTGACAAAGGGGAGTGAGAGAAGGGAAAAGAGGATGGAGAGGAAAGGAGATCAGTGAGGGAATGTGGGAAGAGAGGCGAGGATGAGACCAAAATGGGGGTAGGGACTGGGGCAGGAGAGTCTGGCTGACCCATCTGACTTTAGAAGAAACAGGAGCTGCAGGCTTTGAAGAGCGGGCCCTAGGCGAAAGCAGCTTCTCTCGCGCGGCCCCAATCGGGTCCAAAATGCCCAGGACCCTGCGCTGCCCCGCAGTGGGTTTCCCGAGTGCTCAGGCGGGCTGGGATTCCGCACTGGAGCCCAGATGGGAACGGATGGCTCAGCCTCTCTCCCCAGCCGCTCACCTCCGGCGTGGTCCGGCTGTGGCTTCGCGTTCTCTGCAGAGAGGTCAGAAGACTGTGCGCGTCTCTTCAATGCGAAGCTGGCAGTCTCAGCCTCAAGGTTATCCCGACTACAAGGCTGCCGCAATCCCTCCGCCGCCCCGCCCCCCACCCAATCCGGGCTCCCCGCTCGTCCGGCCCGCCCCCTCCGTCCTTGCGGGGAGCAGTCACTTCAGTAGGAAGTGCCGCGGGGCCGGAACAGGCCGCCAGGTTGCCCTTTTGGGGCAGGACTACATTCCGTGGCGGAAGGACACGGCACATAAAACTGAAATCAATCATTGACGCTCTGTAGAGGCCAATGAGGAAGTGGGGAGGCGGCAAGACCCGCCCTGGGAGCCCCAGGGACCTTTCCTTCCAGACCCTCGGGCGCCTGGGCCACCTGTTGCCGGCACTGGAATGCTGTAGGAGGGCTTTTCTCTTGACCCTTGTTCTGGGCCACCCCAGCTGCCCTGGCCTATTCAGGCGGTGCCCAGATTTATGGGTCCCAGGGCAGCATTCTCCCTGCCGCCCCGCCACTCCCCATCCCTCTCGGTGCCCGCCCCACTGAACACCTCGGGGACTGAGCCCAACAGGAGGTTGGGGAGCCTGAAATGAGATCAGAATGTGGGGAGAGATGGAGATTCGTGGGATGGTTGGGGGTCGGGGCCGTCTTCAGTAGGGCTCGGGCGTGGGAGTGGGGCTAGAGAGACTAGGGAGGGCGGAATGTGCATGGAGCTGGAGGGCGAGGCTTTTGTTCTTAGGGCAAGAACAAGGAAGGACAAGTTGAGGCCATGTGAATGCTTTAGTAGGGGCTGGAATCCTGCAGAGCAAGTGTCTTGAGAGTAGAAAGCGAATAGGAGGTATTAATATTAGTGTAGAACTGACCATCAGGACATACCAAGCCTGAACATGAGAGCCGATGATCTTTGCAGGAGTAAGCACTACTATTTTCAACCTTGTGTATTTAAATCAGTATTGTTTTCTTACATATTCTCCAAGGCATTTTCCCATTTCCCCGTGATTAGCCAACAACCAGTGAAAGCAGTTATCAGTGAAACAGCTGTTAACCCTTGCCCTCCTTCAGCCAAGTTTTGAGAGCAAATACAATGTTACTTCATTAAAAATCGTGAAGACTATTCTCTTAGGTTCTTTCCTTTTCCTGGAAAATGAGACCAAGGGGTGTGACCTGCTCTGGCAGACACTGCCTGCAGCTGAATTACAGGCCTTCATTACACTCCTTTAGCTCAGATAAGCTGGAATGACAGCCTAAAAGTAAATTTCTGTGAGATAAAATCTTTTAATTTCTTCTGTGAGCCTTTTCTGGTCCCCTTAGTTGTAGATAGGAGGTAAATGCTTGTTCACTGAGGTGGTGAGAGCACATGAAGTTGCTGAGGAAAAAAGGTCATGCCCCAACCAGCAAGAATCAGATTCCTCCCTATCCAGAGAAAGGAATGGTATCAAAGGCCCTCTCTGGCCTCTGAGCTAAGGATGAACTAAATACAGTGGTGGACGGCAAAGGGGGTGGGGGTGATCTGGCCAATGCTGTACTATGTTGTATTTTAAAGTTCTAAATCTAGAAATAATCCCCAAATTGAAATGTACATCTATTAAACTGGAGAGTTGGTAGCAAACTACTGCCCCTCTGTCCATGAAACACTTGCAGACAAATCCAGCATATATTCTTGCATAGTGATGCATAGTGAAAATTTATCACATTGAGTTTAAGGTGATTGTCATTTTGCTGAAAAGCAGTGGCGTATAGAAAGCTTAGGTTCCATCTTAGTTCCAATTCTACTCACTAGTCCTATGACCATATCCTATAATGTGTAAGAGTCCAGTTTCTTAAAACTAAAATGAAGACAATTCCTGTTTCACAGGGTAGGGTGTGATCAGATAATGTGAATGAATACAGCATAGAGCCCAATAGGCGTCCTCTTTCTTTGGGAATTGACTTGTCCTGTAGGGTTGTCCTCGTGACTAGTGCCAGAACATCTTTTTGAATTCAAGTAACTTAGTTTTTTTTGAATCTTCACTCTCTTGACCCAGCAGCAAGAAACCCCAGGGATACACAAACCAGAAAGCTGAGGAAGGACAGTTTCTCCTAGACCCAGGGCTCCTCCCCCTGGAGCCAGCCCTTCTACTGTGCTCTCTGACCTGGCAGGATGGGAGGGGTAGCTGCTAGGTTCACTAGACTAGGGTAGTGAGGATATAGATTGCTTGTTACCCGTTTGGATTCTGGTTTAATGGTTTGATTCTTGAACCACGGAGTTTAATGGTTTAATTCTTGAAGGCCATTTGGAGTCCCTGGTGGGGTAGAGTATGTCAGCAAACAATACTGGACCCAATCTTGGAGCCCAAAGATGAGCTTTAGCCCTGGTTACAGGCTTTATCATTACTGACCTCTTGGCCTCTGCCTGAAATAGCAGTGTTATTTCTCTCTCAAGACAGTACAGATTTTCAGAGCAGCCCATAAAGCCCTGAATGTCAGGGTTAAAGCAGAAGTGCTTATCACTTTGGATTTTATATGCCCTTTCCAGAGCCAGACCAAGTAGACTTTTAAATTTATTCTGTGCCCTCCTTCAGACTCCCAAGATGTCTTCAGGCTCACCAGGGTGGCACAAAATCTTAATTTCAGAGTTTCCCCCAGAAAAATCCTAGAAAGAAGTGAAAGTTGGCCTTTTGGAGTTAAGGATAGAGAACACATTGTGGGAAAAGGAAGGCTTCATGGGGGAAGAGTCATGGAAGGTTAAGATAGAGATGGGTAGTGGAAGGCCATTCCAGGGGAGAGGAACAGTAGAGTATTTTCTGAATACAACTGTGTATCTTGGACCCCCCTCCTGAGGAAATGCCCCATCAGTACTTAGAAGTAGGAGGGAAGAAGCCTTAGGAGTTCTTGTTCATTCCAGTGGAAGCACTGCCTCAGCCAAGGTGACCCTGTCAGTTAATGTGACTTCCAGCAATCTTTCTCTAGCCCAGGACTTCTAGGGCACATAGGACAAAGCCTCCTTAGGGTGATTAATCCTGCTCAGCAAACCACTCTCTTGGAGGCCCTGTGCTCTCTTTTCCCTA